TTCAATATGTGATAGTTTATTTGCCTCTATTTCATTTAGTTCTCTCTGTGGGAATTCCTCCTTTCCCCTCATTTGGGGGGTGTTTCTTTTTCTTCCCATTATTTGTGAAACTTTTTTTTTTTTATTCTGCTTCTTAAATTGATCTGTCTCAATTTCCTGACTTTGTGGATTGAACTTCTATGGTAGTAGGTGGGTCTTTTTTTCTTTTTTCTGGGTCTGCCTCTAATGATGTCAGTTGTTGACCCTGTCTGAACTTAGGCAGTCTGTTTGAGACTTCCAGGAATCTACTGCCTGTGTTTGTCTCCTGCAGTTGTTAGTCTAGTCAGTTTGCCCTTAGCTGTCAGGCTTAGGCACCCAAGGGTGGGGCAGTGCCTCCTGAGAGCAGGGCTATGTTGTTCTTACAGGCAGCTGCCACTCAGGGGAGGGGTCTTCCTGAGAAAGATGGAGACTGCGGAATGGGGAAGGAATCAACATCAGGAACCCCCTGGCTAGTCCCTCTGTTCTTTCTCCAGTGCCTCTGATCCAGTCTCTCCTCCAGCATGTCTCTCGGCAGCTCTATGTCCCCTTTAGCCAGTGATCTACTATCTCTGCCAGCTGCTCTGCACTCAGCACCCAGGCCTGTGCACGACTCCTGGGCAGAGTGTCCTGAGGGTAGGGCTAGTGTTTCCTTTATGCCTGAGCAAGATGGTAGCTGCAGAGTGGGAGGTGAGTCATCACCGGGGCCCTGCTGGCCACTGTCTCAGTTCTCTCCCAAAGGTTTCCTCACCAATCTTTCCTCGGGCTCCAACCCACTCTGATCCTGTCTCTGCACAGAGACCAAGGAAGATGGCTGCTACTGCAAAATTTTTGTGTTGGCCCTTTAAATGTCTCTTTGCATCTCCAGCTGCTTGTCTCTAGCAGAGAGCTCCACTATGCTTTTCGCAGTTGTCTTTTGTCTGTGTGCTTTTTTGGGTTCAGATGTTGTAGTCTAGAGGTCCCCACTTATGATTCAGACCTTTTTCTCCTTAGGGGGATCCAACTGGCTGTTTCAATATCCCTCTGGTGCTAGCGCCTGTGGGCACCCAGCCTGCCCTCTCAAGCCTCCACATTTTTTACCTGTTAGGATGTGCGAAAGCTGAATCCACTGTCTGTCTAAGGCTCCAAGGCTCCTCTCTCGCTATCATTCCATCGTTTTCCAGGTGATTTCTCCACAATTTAGTTGCAATTCCAATTTGGTCCTGGGAGGAGGTCAGTGTGACTTCCACTTTCTCCTCCACCATATTCCCTCCCTCCTCATCTACCCATTTAAAAAAACCTACCCCTTGGCTTCATATTATATTGAATTCTCAGTCATGTAATTTCATTCTTCATTTTTAATAATGAAATATTTAAGGTTATTAAGTTACTTATGAATATTTTACTCAAAGTTTTGATAAGTCATAATCTTATTTTTGCTATTTTTTATTAGTCTGCTAGTGTTTCTTTGGGCTAACACATATATATAAATGTGTTCTGAAATATTCAAGCAGTTGAAGACTTTTGTTTAAATTTGAAAAAGCTTTATGTTATCATCTAAGAACAGGGCAAATATAATTTCCATTTTTAAGAGTATTCAAAGGTTTTCTTTGTGGTATACCATATGATAATTAAAAAATATTTTCTGAATATTTCTCTGAATGTTCTCTGAAAATCTTAGAAAAGGTGTATTCACTATCTATAAAATATTTTTCATATTTATTAATTAGATCAAATGAATTATGTTTTTCAAATATTCTAAGTACTTATTTTTTGATTTACTACATCTGTAATAGTTAAATTACATGGAAGTCTCCCATAGAGACATTTCTATAATTTTCTTCTTGTATTACAAACAGTTTTTTCTTTACATATTTGGATGCCTTTTTGCAAAAAAAAAAAACAGTCTATAACTACAATATCTTCAATATAGCTTAAATCTTTTATGATTATAAAATAAATTTCTTGGGACCAACATGATTTGGTTATTGTTCTTCCTTTCGGTTTTTTTTTTTCAAATTGGTAAGTGACATGATAAGATGACTTATTTGGAGAATATATTGATTGGGAGGAAGTAAGACCAAAATATGAGAAACTAGAAATCATGAGTGATTGAATTAAGAGAAAAGCTACAGAGAGCTTTTTAGGGGACTGGTTTGAAGGGAACTGGGACAAACGAAAAGAGTTGAAGGTAACACTTAGATTTTGGACTTAGTTGACCATTATATAAAAGGAAATATAGGAGGAAGATCTGGGTTGACTTTTCAGTGTAAGCCGTTTTATAAAGTTCTGGGTTTTTTATTCATTCCAAAGGACTCAAGCCCAGACCTAATGCTCAGTGTTGAATCTTTGTCAGTTGATTGCTTACTCAAACCAAAGTCTTTCTACCTTAGTCTAAAACACTAGGATAAATATTAAATTTCAGAGAGAACACATTTATTTTAAGTGCTAACAGTTCTTTCATAAATTTAAAGAACAACTTACATTAACAAGGAAGGAATAACCGTCCATCCTATACTATCCCCAGGGTAGTCAATAGGTACAGGTTATGTTTCCCACAAGGGGGCAGCATCATCTAATAAGCCTCCAAAAGGGGCTGAGAAGGTGATGCTGAAAGGGTAGACAACATAGGTTCAGGGAGCGGTAGGACCTGCCACACCAACAAAACCAAAGGGCCCTACTATCTCCAAGGCCATAATTAAGTGACTAGTAGTGGCAGATGTTGCTACGGGAGGGAGAAAGTGGGCATGGAGCTTAACAAGGGAAGATGAGGGGGTGACACATCTGATCACTCCCATTATTATGACTGGTTCAGAAACCACCTTGGATGGTGTCTGTATTTCCTATAAATGCTCATAGGACCTTTATTTCCTGTTCAGATCTCTGTCACCCCTAAATGGTTTCCCAGCAAATTGTGTTCTCTGAAGGCTAGGTTGCAAAGCACACTCCAGTTCTGATGCTCTCATTTAATAATGTTTAGTTATCCTGATTATGCTTCTTTTATGCCCTAGAAAACGGAATGAGACTGAAATTCATTGAGAATCCATTATGTGAAAGGCATTTTACATAAATTGCCTCATTTAATCAACACAACCGTGTCATTATATATTAACTATTATTTCTCATATAACAGAACGAGGAAGTAACATACATGGGTCTATCTGACTCCATAACAAAAACTCTTCCAAATCCACCATGCTACCCCTCCAAGAGGCTTTGTTTAAAACCTAAATCATGATAAATTCAAGATTGAATCAGTCACAACGTGTCTACAGCATAAGGCATTACCTAACATGTCACCTCATATCCAGATACATGGGCAGGCATGGCTTATTATTAGGTACCAGTAGGTAATGTAAAAAAATGAATGGGATCCTATATAACTTCACTCTTACTAACTCAAAACCCAAGTATTATTCCTTGAGGGTAAATCATTTGGATGTAGAGCATGAGAACAATGGAAGAATTAAAAATGGCTTTTGTGTTTCTGATTTGGTTGACTCAAGACATGGTGGTCTCAGTCACTGTGATAAGGAGCTTGGGAAGAGAAGATGACATTTTAGGTTTTGAGCATATTGTCCTTGAAATGCTTCTGAGACATCTAAGTATAAATGTCCAATAGGAAGTTGGTTATATGGGTCTGGGGCACAAGAGATATACTCATCCATATACAGACAGTAATTGAAGCTCTTGAACTGGGTGAGATTTTTCCATGCCATATTAATGAAGTCAGAAAGGTTCACACTGGGGGAAATACCAACATTTAAGGGATGGTCAAAGGAAGAGCAGGTAGAAACCTGGTTTTGAAAACATAAAGAGAGAAGTAAGAAAAGGACAAGTAAATGGGTATCTTGAGAGTGAGGAAGAAGAGTTTCACAAAGGTGGGCATAATCCATTGGCTTTGACAGTTAGGAGGTAATATGTAGCTTTTGACAGAGTAGTTTCAGTGGAGTTCTGAAGGTTAAATTTAGACTGCAGTGGGTAGAAAGATAAATGGTAGGTAAAGAGGAGACAGTGATTATAGAATCTCCTTTAGAAAAACCGAGTATAAGCAAAAGGAGGAAGATGGGGTAGTAGTCAGAGGGGGAAGTATAATTTTAAAAAGACACTTTAAATTCTTTTTTCTAATAAAAATAATTAAGATGGAGAAACTTAGGCATGGGTATAAGAAACAAACTAATAGACATGAAGAAGTTTAAGCTCCAGTAATACAGAGCAAAGATGTAGCAGCCATATGGAAATCTCACCAGTAGGCAGATGTTTGGCAGCATCAGAATGACTATGTCCCATAATGCCCTTACCTTCCTTCTGCTTATGCTACTCACCTTACCTGGAATGCCTTTTTACTTCTGATGGTTTATTTGTCAAATTCTACCCACCCTTTAGCTCAAATTCTACCTCCTCTATGAAGTCTTACCCTATCAATCTCTTCTGAAGTGCTCTTTCTCTTGAACTCCAATAGCAAAATGTGTTTGGACAATCCATTTGACAATCACCATTTACCCTGCAAAATCTCCTTAATTGCTTTCTTCAAAAATGTATTGCTAATTAATGTGTCACATGTGTGTCTTGTCTCCCCTGCTAGACTGTACAGTCCTCAAGGGCAGGGTTTCTATCCTAGAGTTTGCCACAGCCTCCAGAATGCCTACCATGAAAAGCACTACAGTCTCTTTAAAGGTTGAGCAGTGGTAGCCTCTTATGAAGGAGAATACAAAAAAACACTGGGCCCTCGGTATGCATTGAGTCATTTCATTCTCTCAGTAGCAAATGAGGAGACAAAATCTTGCAGAGGTAAAATAAATTTATCCTAGGGACATAGGTAATATGTGGTAGTATCAGGATTTGAACCAAAGGCTATTTCTCCTATGCCTTTTGCTTTAGTTGTCTGCAGAATTCTGTTCATGGGAAACACTTCTTTCCTTGGAGATTTTGACAGAGATATGGCTTTACTACCAACCAGGTGGTTTTGGCAAACCTTGCACCTTGCAGGACATCTTGTATCTTACCTCCTGACAATCAGCTTGAGGATCCGGAAGGAGCCTTTGATGAGGATGAGGGCTTCTTGGCGAGAGCCATACAATGGAGTGCCATTGATATTCACCAGCTCATCACCAGTCCTCATCTTCTGGGACAAGGCTGCCTTGCCCCCATCTTCAATCTGTGTTGCAGAGAACAAAAATAGAAAGCAGGTGGTTAAGCAACTTTTCCCCCCAAATTTTATTCCTTGGCTCTTCCCAACTTCTGAGCCACTAGTAGTGCTTGGACAGGGGTGGGGTGGATGGGTGAGGAATGGCTGGAGGAAGCTCCAGGCAGCAGCTAACAAGTTGATAATAGGCCATTATTTACTGAAGGCAAAGCTTGGGCTACCCTTTTGAGGAAGGAGGCAACACAGTAATAGTACAATCATCCGGGGGAAACAAACACTTCTAAATACGAAAATGATGGTTGAAAGGAACCCCCACAATATGGGTTAAGCCATGCCATTTTGCATAGCAAAATGTGCATGTAAATTAGAGCCAGAAGATCTAGGCTCCAGCAAAATCACCTTTGTCAAGTCTTTTCCTTATCTTTGAACACACTTTGAACTCTGACAAACTGGAGTTTGGATCTTGGGTCGAGTACTTCCTAGCTGTGTAACCCTGAGCAAGTTACCTAATGTCTCTGTGTCTCAAGGATCTCATAAGTGAAATGTAGATACCTCACAGAGTGTTAGTATATGAAGGGTCTGGGAACAGTAAATCCTTAATAAATGTGAGAGCTCTGAGTATTATAGCAAGGGAGTTGACTCTGAAGGTGGCTTCCAGATCAATATTCTGTGAGTGGAATTGCAAATTCAAAGGATAGAAAGTATGCACAAAATAATCATTCATATATCTGTGTTTCTTCAGCAAGTACCTAGCACAGTACTTCCAGTTTCTGGCACACAGTGGGCATTTACCAAAAGCTGGGGACCTGGGTGTTCACTGTTCCACCATAGCCTATAGAATTTACATTGGCCAGGACAATCTTGGCAAGAATGTATTCAGTTTCAATTGAGCAGGACAATCTCGGCAAGTGGGAGTAAGGGAGCATTGAAAGCAAAGTTGTAAATAATAGCCACTGCGGTATGCAAAAGGGAAGCAAAGCAGAATGTCCCCCAAAGGTCCTCACTTATGGCTACTTTTATGCATAATATATTCCTTATACCCCAAAGGTGAGTTCTACCTATTGGAACATCAGTTCCATCCATGGTGGTAGGAGTCATCTCATCCATCCATTAATTCATTCTTCAAGTTTTTAGTGAAGTTATAGTATGCACAGGACAACATGCTAAGTGCTAGAGATACAGAAAAGAACAAAGCACACACAACTCACAGACTCAGGAGTGTGTTACCATCTACAGTTAATATGTCTACACAGATGGTCAAGTAAAAGGAAGGTCTAACCCACTGATGGAATCAGGAAGAGGTGTTTATGTGTTATTTCTCCCAAGGGCAAGGAAGGTGAGGGTGATTAAACCACACAATCCTTAGGGAAAGGTAGATTCTAAGTGGGGCAACTGTGTACTGGCTTTTGCCACAGGTGTTTTTACACTTCCATTCTTGTTCCAATCTTCCTCTCAGTCTTTAATAGCATCCCTCCAATCTATCCCACATAATGGAAGTTAGAATATTGCTGAGCTTTAGGTTGGCCAGCTTATGTGCAATTTGGCAGATGACACCTGAGTACAGAGAAAAATGTTAATTCAGGATTTTAAAAAACCCACCAAATAAATAGAAATTCGGAGTTAAATCACAGATTGTTATTAAATTTATTGCTGCTAATCCAACACTTTTTTTTAACAAGTTAACCTTTGTTTGATAAATTACAGCCAATTTGAGTAAAGAGGGAACAACGATCAGCAAATTAGGATTGCACTCCTGGAAAGAGAGAAAGAAAGAGGAGAGAGAGAGAGAGAGAGAGAGAGAGAGAGAGAGAGAGAGAGAGAGAGAGAGAGAGAGAAGAGAAGAGAAGAGAAGAGAAGAGAAGAGAAGAGAAGAGAAGAGAAGAGAAGAGAAGAGAAGAGAAGAAAAAAGAAAGCAGAGTGCTGTAGTTCAATTTCAGGAGTTCTATTTGAATGACTCATTTCTTTGGCATCCATGGAAGGCCCTCAGCATCAGGCAGGACTCTCAAGGGGTACCAGCCATTTGAAAGGGCTTCCTATGGCTAACAAACAACCACAAAAAGGAGTCTAGCTAATGAATGCTAATAGATTTTTTTTCTGTTGGTATACATTAGTCTTAATTCATTCTACTCATTTTTTATTTATACATCTCAATTATCCATATTACTTACTGTTACCCATAGCAAGTCTTCCCTTCAATATGTATTGATATTAAGTACCAGTTCAGGTTAATTAAGCACTTTGTTACATGAACAAGATCTCTGTTTATTCCAGGCCAGCAATCTTCTCAGGACAGAAATAGTGAGTGTAACAACACCACTTTAGCACAAGGGTGAGGTTTTGCAGAAAACAAAACAGCAAATTGTGGGCATCCAGCACAATCCCAGAGGCCAGACTGGTCCAGAGCAAGGAATGAAACTTCATTTTGTTAAAGATCTCTTGGACTATATCTCAAAGTAGTCCTTTCCCAGACACAGGACATTTACTGAGCTGTACAACTGATTCCTTTTTACATCTCCTGATTTTTTGATGGTTTAAATATTACTGTTCACTAGTCTTTCTCCTCCCCTACCTCCACGTAGATTTCTGGGATCCAGCATGTCTTCCATTTATTGTTTTGCCTCCTGAGAACCAGTTCTTCAGATCAATGGCTCAACCACACATTTTTTTTTACATAGAAGATAAAGCAGCTGTTCATTCTTCTAGCAAGGAAATGGAAAAGAAAAGAAGGGGAAGGGAGCAAGGAAAAGAAGGAGGGAAAAAGATATATACAGGATGGGGCAAAAGTTGGTTTACAGCAGTGAGTATGTAAAAGTTTATTCTTACATTAGTATTTATTATTGTGTTATTTTTCATACAAAAACTGTAAACCTACTTTTTTCTCACCCTGTATATTCTTCTGTGAAAGGCTTTGTTTTCCCTTTCCAGCTACCCCACTCATAGCTCTGGCTGGACCCCAAGGAAGGTGTGAATCAACAAACTTGTTGAGAATAACATGCCCTGCTTGAGCAGCTGTATAGCATCATATTATGCTGTCCATTCAGTGAGACTGGTCTACCTTCCAGCTTTTCTTGAATCAGACCTTCAGGGTGGCTTTCTTGTTTCATTTGAAGTGTTGTGAATTCTCAGATTGGACCCAGATGCATTGAAATGTCAGTATAAACATACATCACAAAGCCCAGTGTAAATGATGGTTAACTTCTGCGTCATTTTGGATCAGCCAAGTGATGGCTGAGCTGGCAGTGAGTGGCTCAAGTAATTGAACATCGATTACATAAGGTCATATAACCAAAAGCCAACAGGTGTCTAGAAAGTTGGGAAGAGCTGATTAACCTTGGACAATTTCCTTTCCCCTCTATTGGCCTTTTACCCTTACTGGTAAAATGGAGGGTTCTGACTAGATGGTCTCTGAGGGCCTTCGGAGCTCTGACATTCAATGACCTGTGAACAATTAGCAAAGTCATGCAATATTCCTTCCCCTAACAAATAATCCCAGCTTTTCATGCCCATTGTACTTTGCCTTCACCCATGTTTCATGCCTCCAAAATGGACTAATTAACATTCATCTCTCATTTTCTTGTATCCTTTATCAATTGTTTCAGAGTGGTCCATCAAGGTTGTAACACTTAAACAGCACAGTTGGGACACTGAGAGAAAGAGATTCCTGAAGTCCCATTTTGTCCTAATGAGTTGATGATTTGAAAATTGTTGGTAGGTCTTCAATGAAGAATAAAGTGCTCTGATAGTTGTCAACAAACTGACAAGTTGGCCCCTTGAGAGAAAAGGCAAAGAAGAATTGGCTTTACAGCACTTACTGGCTTTCTAGTAGCTTTTATTTAGTCAGATATTAGTAGATACTTGCTTGGGTCTTTTGAATAAATTTAGAAGATATGAAAAAGTGAAGGAAAAAAGTTAAAGCAGGTTTATCTTGGAAAATGCAGTCAGAAAAAAAACCCAGCATCTGTAACAATAACCAACTGGTATTGAGTATTTATAATAGTGTAAGAGCAGCACTAAAAAATCAATGACAGGCCTGTGAATACCTCTGCTTGCCACAATAAATTTATTGGAAAATCAGTCATTGACTAAAATTTTCTTAGCCAGTTCTAGGAGCTTCTGGCCAAATTGCCAGCCCATATTCCTACTTCCACTAGCTAGTCTAAGAAGGCAAACAACATGGTTACTTATTTAAATTGATGTATATTTTTGCAAATATACAGAAAAAGTCCACCCAGAATGCAGTACCTGCATTAGTTTAAGAAAATAGAATATCCTCTGAATGCCTTTTTGGTACCCTCTGAAAGATTTTTAAGTTTTTATTAATACTTCAGATGCTCATTCAGCAATTTGGTCTTCTCAGGGGAGTCAATAAAATGGAAATGCAGGGGTGGCAATAAGCTGGATTTGAGAATTTTAACTATTTGGAAGTAGAATCATTAACTAATAATAAATTCTGTGCTAATTGTGAAATTTAGTTTGAAATCTTGAGTAGATTATAGGTTGGGTGCTGTTTCTGATCTGCCCTCTCTACCCTAGTGAAATCCCTTAAAATATGATCATGCTAGTAGAGGTTAATCAGAGTGCCCTTGATGGGGGAGATACAGTCTTTGAAATCTCTGTAATCTTTTGCACTGACTTTCAACAGTCTGATTCCAGGTTGCAGATATACTGGCTGCCCTGACTTGTCTCTCATAGCAACTCTCTCCCTTCAAAAATCCCTCTCAAATTTCCAAAGTAGTCCATATTAGAAAAACAAGAAACTCTAATGTTTTTAATTTCATCTTCCCTACCTTACCCAAGCTTCCCAAAAGGCAAAATAGAAAACAGAAACCTCTTTCTTAAATAAAGAAGAATTCAAAGACAACAAATTACAAAAATGTAAGTAGGCCTGGTTCTAAGTAGTAATCCCTGTATGGAGACAGGCTGAGGAAGTAGACATCAAGGGAGAATATATTCTTTCCTTCTACCAGCAAAGAAGCAGATGTCCAAATCCTACAAAGGGCTGTTCTAGACTGTAAAATTCTGTGAAATCAGGCCCACTGGCTCCCCTGATCATGCTATGCACCACAGTATGATGCTATCCCTACAGACAACTCCCAAACTGATTATTCATAACCTAGTTTACTAATCCTCACAACAAAGGCCCTCTAAGCTCCAAATCATTAAATATCCCTGGGGATTAGCCCAAGTCAAATTCTAAGTATCTATGCCAAAAACTCAGTCAGCCAAGAGCCAAACTCAGCTCTAGGAATTTGGTTATGAGGAAAGAGGTAGCGAGTCAAAAGCACTATATCCTATATCAGGAAACAAAAGCCAGTTGTCTTTGCTCCTACCAACCCAGATCATCCTGCTGTCTCCATAAATCAGATAAGGGGAAATAAACATTACTATGCAAGGGTAAACTCAGGCTTTCTTTCATTATCAGCAATATACTCATTGGGGTCCTATTCACACTTTGCAAACTTTAGCCAATTGCTCACACTGAGGTCCTTTGCTGACATTATTTATATCAGTGTTTATCAAAAATGTTAGCCTTTGGTGGTTTAGAATGATAATATCCAGAGTAGGGTACATATATCCCAGGTTATGCACAAGATGATCTACTGAACCAGAGATATTGAAACTTCTGTTTATATTTATACTTATCTAAAAAATTAAAAACCAAGCCTTATTAATATTTAATATTGGTGGTAGTAAATTACATCATCCATAAATAAAATTATGTATATTGAAGACACATACTCAAAATATTTTTACTGGTGTAAATTTTTACTTAAAAAATTTGACCAGATCATAGCCTTAAATGACAGGACTAAACCCATAAAACTTTTGGAGTAAAAAAATAGGAGAATATCTTTGTGATCATGAAGTGGGCAAAGATTTCTTGAGCAGGGTTCAAAAAGCAATAACCATAAAAGAAAGAGTGTTATATTAAAGTTCATCTAAATAAAAAATGTGTTCATAAAAATACCACTAAAAAGTGAAAAAGGCAAGCCACGGACTGGGAAATATATTCACAATACATACATCTGACAAAGAGCTTATATCCAGAATATTGAAAACTCATACAAATCAATAAGAAAAAAATCACCAGTTAACAATTAGAAAAAGACTTGAACAGTCACTTCACTAAATAAGGGAGTCCAATGCCCAATAGGCATATGAAAGGTGCTCAGTATCATTTTTCATCAGAGAAATGTGATTTAAAATCACAGTAAAATATGACTACAAATCTGCCAAAATGCCTAAAATTAAAAAGATTGAAAATACTAAGTATTGGCAAGAATGTAGAGAAATTTGAACTTTACATTGTTGGTGGAGGTGTAAAATTGTACAACCATTTTAGAAATCTTTGCACCTTCTCTTGGACCCAGACATTATACATTTACGTATACCCCAGAGAAAGAAGTGTGTGTGTCCACAGAAAGACTGGATTGCTCATAGTAGCTTTATTCATAATAGACAAAAATTAGAAACAACCCACATGTCCATCAAAACACACTCATATGCAAAATGGTATAATATACAGCAATAAAAATACAAACTACTACTAAATGCAACAGAATGGATGAGTCTCAGAAATATTACACTAATTGAAAGAGACCAGACTACAATATATACTGTATGCTTCCATTTTATATGAAGGTCAAGAACAGACAAAGCTAATCAATCTATGGTGAGAAAACTCAGAATAGTGGTTACCTCTGGAGAAGGTGTACTGATTATGAAGACATATGAGTATAATTTTCAGGGGTAATGAAAATGTTTTACATATTCATCTGGGTGCTGAGTAATGAAAATATGCATATCTAAAAATTCATTGAGATTTGTGCATTTTACTTTATGTATAAATTATTCCTTAATTTAAAAAAGAATTTAAGAAATAAAGACCACTATAAAGACACTATACAGATTATATTTCTGAGGTAGTGATCAACCATCAGGTACTATTTTCACATACTTAAGCTTTAATCAAGATAAAGCATTTCACTTAAAAAGTAAGTCTTCACAATATGAATTTTTCCATTGTTCATCTCTGCTTTGAAACACTATTTGTCTGCCCTACTCCTCCCAATAAGGTGGATAATTTCAATAGGAAATGAAAATAAAAACAAAAATGCCACCTGACAAGACTGAAACTTAAAAAAAAATCACCAACCAATTTATATCTTGACATGTCATAAAAACAGAATCAATCCCTCATCCAATCTTGGAGGTATTTTCTACTCCTCCTGTCTATCCCAGATATGCCTCTGTCTCATGGTCCCAAGAGTTCTTCATAGCCACTCAGAGAAGCAGAACTTCCAATTAGGCCATTGTCACACAGGTAACTATCTCTTCTTCAGGCATTATTACTGCCTCCTATCGGACTGTCTGCACTTGGCTGTTTAATAACCTATCAATTTCATTGAAACAAGTGAGCAAAGAATCTTGCAAAGCTGGTGTGGTAGAGAGTTCAGGGAGAACTGAGGTAGAAGAAACTGGAGGAAAGGATACAGTAGCATGCTAAATAAAGACTTTACTGCTTGATTTCTAGAAGCAGTTGACAGCAACAGAGTTCACTATATACAACCATAATATTAGCTCCCTTGCATAGGGTTAAAAATTAAAAGAATAAGATGGATCTGTTTGCACTAATAGATACTGGTTTCTTTTTTCCCCCTTGAAAGAAACTATTAGCTATGTTTACCTTTGTGGGGGATGGATGGAGGGTGTAAGTAGATGGGAATTTCCAGTATTAATTTTATACTTCTCTAGGCCCTCAATGATTATATGTTACTTTTTTTAAAATGCCAGAAGATGCCCTGGCTGGTGTAGTTCAGTAGATTGAGTGCCAACCTGTGAACCAAAGGGTCTCCGGCTGATTCCCAGTTAGGGCACATGTATGAGTGGCAGGCCAGGTCCCCAGTAGGGGATGTGGGAGAGGCAACCACACATTGATGTTTCTCTCCCACTCTTTCTCCCTCCCTTCCCCAATCTCTAAAAATAAATAAATAAAACCTTTAAAAAAATAAAAATTAAAAATGCCAAAAAATTTTTTTGGGTGATACAATAGTAGGTCTCTTTTTGCCCCTTCTTTTATATTCAATTTTATTAAAGTAAACTAATGGATGTTATTTAAAAGGAACTTACACAAAGTAATATGTGATCCAGGTAGATAATTTTGAAAATAAGGAAAGCAAAAAACAAAAAAAACAAAAAAACAAAAA